GTACACACTTTCAGTTACAAGATGAATAAGGTCTATATAAGGTGACTATAGTTGGTAACACTGCATGTATAATTGAAATTTGCTAAGAGAGTAGAATTAAGTGTTTTCACCAAAAAAAAAAAAAAAAAAAAGGTAACTGTGTTAGGTAATGGATGTGTTTCTTAACTTGGTGGAATTCTTTCACAATGCATATGTATATAAAATCACCACATTGTACACTTTAAATAGATCCCAATTTTATATGTCAATTATACCTCAATAAAGCTGAAAAAAAGAAAAAATTTGTGGACTCAAAATTCCAAGGGAATGAGATGTATGACAGGCACGTTTTTGGTAGAAGGGAGCATATTTCTAGGTAGAACGTACGGTTCCAGGGTGGGAGGTTCTGAACCCCTTCTCACATGGTATTCTGTCTCCCAGCTCACAAGAACAGTGTGTTTCCAGATGGCAGGACTATTGGAGTCACTGTCTTGCTCGCTTGATCTAGCACAGTCCTGCCTTAAAGGACACAGTGTATGTGTGCTGAATGGATGAATTATGGAGGGAGGGGACAGGAAGGGTGAAGAGACAGACATTGGAGATTGACTTTCCTGCTTTAGAGTTCTGTTTGCTGCAGGCTGTGAGCTCAGGTCGCAGGCTGATTTGACATTCTAGTGAGTTCTCTCCTCTCTATACCCAGCTCAGTACTGAGCTCCAAGAGGAAGCTGCTGGGTCAAGGTTCGGGTGTTCTATACACCTCTAAGGCCATCCGTACATAAGGGCCACTTCATCCCACTCTGTTGGCAGAGATAACAGACCCATGAGTCAAGTACTGAGCTTTTCTCTGTTGATTTAGAGCCTAGAGACTCCGTGTCATTCAGAGGTGACTTTCATCCTGAGGGTGCATATCTCTCCTGCACTTAAAATTGTCTTCGATCTCCATCTTCTCCCGTGATCACCTGTAAAGGATCTTCAAAAACATGTGATTCTTTTTACTGACAAATGAAAAAGCTGAAGCAAATTCTGTAACTCAGGATTCAGTCGGAGAACCAGAACCAGCAGAAAAAATACATATATGTATGTATATTATATATAAATAATGTCATTTTTATGTATTAATGGCAAGTATTATGCAATTATTTAATCATGTAATATATACAGTCGTATATCTATATATCTGTATATATTACAGGCATTATGCACTTTTGAGAGCTGGTTCAACAGACTCTATGAGGCTGTTGCCTTCATCTGATGCTGAAGCTGGAAGTCTGTAGCGCAGGGAGGCAGGAAGGGAAGATGGATGTGAAGAGGAGGAGAGTGAGGACAAGCTGGAACCCATAAGGATAGACTGGAACTCATGTCAGTCTTCCACTGCCCCCAGCTCTGATGATGGCGAGGGGGGGGTCCTCCAGGAAAAGCTGGTGTCCTTTGTCACAGAAGGAAACACACGCCTGAAGCTGGGAGCTGAGGGAGGACCCCACACCAAGGAGGGGAACCCACAGATAAGCTACCTCCACACCCACCTCCGGAGCATAAATACTATGGCTGCTGCTTCGCTCCTACTCTCTGAATGTCTGGCAAAATGTCTCTTGTGGCCCACCCTAACTGGACACCTACGGCCTAAGCCAGTTGACATATTACAAAGCCACCGGAGGATAATGCCAAGAGCTGATAAAGTGAGGCTGTTGGTACACAGGTGTTTGTTATGTATCTGCATAGTCTCATCTGTAGGAAATACTTTATAATTTCAAAATAGTTTAAGGTGTGACTTCATTTGCATTCATTGTACAACTCCTAAAAAAACAACGTCAAAATCCGCCCCCTACCAAAGAAAGTTGACTTTTCGAACCCGGTCGAACCGTTATATAAATAAATAGCCTTTCCAGTGAATAAATTAACAGGCCAGGTGGAAACGATCCTGGTGATTCCAATTTCATCTGTCTTCTTAAGTGTTTGAAAAGTAATACCATACCTTAACATCAGCAGAAGAGATATAAGATAGGTTTTTGCTTGAAATTGGATTCTCGAGTACTCATTACGCAAAATTAAACTGCAGCCGTTACACAGAATTCACTATGTAGCTTATAAACCTGAACAAGTGTTTCACCTCTTCACTGTTTTGTTACACTTTGTTTTTGAGCTGGAAAGAACTGCCGTGAAAACTTATACATCAAAAAAAATTGTATAAATATTTCATAACAGGCAGATGCTGAAGCGAAATACTCAATAGTTTGAAGTATTTTAGTAATTCTTACTAGCCTCAGCAATTAAGCACATTCACGAAGCTGGCTTTGAGATGACATTCCGTTAAATTATAAACTACCAAATTATTGGTATTGTCACGTATGATGCAATCTAGGCCCTTGTCTCAAAGTCAAAATACATCATTCCACTGCTGAGAACACTCTCTCTTGAGATAGGTTGATTGGGTAATTTCTCCTTTCTTTTTCATTTTCTGTAGCTACTATGCTCCGCTCCAGTCTTATCTCGTTGTTCTATAATCCTACCAGCTGGAGATCACTTCTGTTGACCTTTTGCTATATATGCTTTCACTCTTTTTTCTGTGAGGTTCATATTGAGTAGGACCCGTTGAAAAATGAATCACTTTGTATGATATTTATAAGACAAGTAAACTTGGGTAATTTTTGAAAGCATTTTTTATTTTCAAATTATGCATACCACCAAAGATTTGGAAATGCTAATATTTCTACAAAACTTAAACTTAGAAAAACAACCCCCAAAATAAAAAATGCTAATTAACAAATATGTTCAAATGCCCAGAGTTATCTCCATTTAGAGGTGGAATACCCATCCCCCCCCAAAACACCCAGAATCCAAACATAATTAAAAATTGGTATGAGTAAAGACAAGATTATTGTGTTTCATTTAAGCAAACCATCTGACATTTTTTGAGTGTTAAATACAGAGAGATGGCTCCTTTTGATTGCTAGTTATTATCTACTGACAGAGACTCTGAAATTAAGTTGCTAAGGCTGAGTTGGAAAGAACTAAAAAATAATGTATTTGAAATGGGCAAAAATAATTTGAATCGTACTTTTGAAGCTATAGGAAGAACAACATTCATGAATAACCGACGATCATTCTATGATGAAAATTTCTGGCAATTTATCCTTTTGTATACGTCCATCTTCTAAGCAATTTCCCCAAGACAGTCAGGACATCACTACGAGCCAACAGCACATTGTTCCCTAGGTGCCGTGTATAACCCCTCCAGTGGTTATTCCTATAAAGATGCTCTCCTGAGTGACAGAAAAGAAATAAGAGAATCCCATGATCTTTACCTAGATTGGGGTGAAGTTGCCTTTGCTGCTCCAGTGGGTGATGGATTGCTTAGTCGATTAAAAGCTTGGAACCATTATTCTAAAAGCATTATCACTCATGGTCTTTCTCCGAGGCATATGGTGGCCAGAGGCCCGTGGAAAGAGGGCTACAGGATTACTTTGAGTTATTAAGAGGGCGCCCTTTCGAACTCTGTTGAGATGAAGAACCCCTTCGCTGGGAAAGCCTAGTGGAAAGAACTGAGAATAACAGAAGGATCAGAGTATCCGTGTGTGGTGTGGAGGTGAAGGCAGCCTGTGGATTGTTTTAAGAATCAAGGCTCTCAGGTTATCGGTACCGGTCAGGAAGGCCCTTTTGCTGTCCGTATTTTAAGGGATTCACAGATGTATCTGGGAGACATTCTCATACACCAAGGAAAGCTAGAATTGGGGAGGAGCTAGTCCAATTCCTGGCAGGAAGGTGGGGATATGAGGAGAGAATGGAGTGCGGGTGTGTGCAGGGAGAGGCGACAAGAGAGACAGCCGCGAAATAACACAGTTCCAATCTTTGGCCCTCCCCAAAGAGTTCATTTTCAAGCTGTATTTCCCCATTTTGACTGATTTGAAAACAACCTTTATGGGTTTTGTCCCAATATTACTCAAGATTCTTCTTCAAACTGATACACTTTCGTCTAATATGCCCTTTAGCCTCATTCTAAAGCATTGATGTTGAAATCATGTGTTTGTGCTTTTACTTTTTCTGACGTGCATTAAAATAAACACATGGTTATCAAAATATGTTAATCCCTGTCCCCGTAAAGTCGTCTTGAGGCCCCCTTGTAGCGTAGTACACGCCCCATGCTTTGAAAAGCTGGTCCCACACAGCCCTCCAAAGAACAGGGGTTCAAAGTTGCTAAGCTACTTAGTGTGATGGAAGCAACCCCAGAGATGCCAGGGCCCTGTGGGCTTCCGCGTGGGGTGACAAGTGCGAGCTTTTATGCAGGCTCCCAGGGAAATGCCTCAGTTCCTCTCAGTACTCCTCAACAGCCAGGGTCAGCCAGAGAAGACAGCTTCAACCTGCCACCTGGAAATCAGCCTAATGAGAATTTCCTGGCTTGAGATTGCCCCACCCTAATGAAAACCCTGTAACAGGACCCCGAGTCTCGCCTCGGATGTTAGGGCAATTCTCGGTATAATCGGCTCAGGTGGTATCAAATAAGAGCCAGGAAAATAGAGGCTGAGACAGGGGAGAGGGAGTCCAAGGGAGACGGGGTCAGAGCAGGCGAGCCTCTGATAGCTTGTTTCTTCTTAGAAGAAAGCTTGAAAATGGGTCTGTTTGTGCTCAACTAGCATGTCAAGTCTCCTTAGCTTTATAGACACTGTAGTCTCACACTTTCCCCCCCTATTTTGTATGATTTGTTTTTACTTAAGTCTCTGTTATGGCAATCTAACATCCAGTAGCAGAAAACACATAAGCGAGAGTGATTTTATGCTGGCTAAAATCTCTTCATATTTATTTCAGGCTCAGATAATTTGCTGAGAAAATCCTAGCCTGACAATGACATTTATTGGTGACTTTTTTTTTTGGACCTGTTTTCTCTGCTCTCTCATGCATAACATGAGCGTGGCTCGCTGAGTGCTTGATAGGACCAGAAATCTTTCTAAAAGCCCTGGGTCTCCAGATTGCTCTCATCCTGCCACCTTGCTGAGAACAAAACACAGCCACACATCAGCAGATGATGAGAAACGCGTCTTTATTGGGTGAATTTTAAAGGTATTGTCTGCTGAGGGCTGTACAGATGTCATCAGGACATACCCACCACCAAAAGGTCATCAATGACGGTTCTTATCACCTCACAAAAACAACGAGCCAACTGCAGAAGCATTGCAGGGGAAATTAATAAATAAATTAGGGGGAGAGAATGGGGTTTCCCATTCCTGGGGTTTGGGAGGCCTTCCAGCTGATTCTCTCTATCTCCATAGTCTGGGGTCTTTAAGAATGCACCATTTCCTGGAATTCTAGAACAGAAGAGGTGAGAACAGAGTCATTGGAGATGGCTCAGTTCTTTACAGACATGCTATGGCCCATGAGAGTTCTGAAGGGGAAAGGAAATTGAGCAAATTGTCAGATGATGGGCATGGCCCTATCAAAGGGCACAAAGAAAGAAAAATGCATCACTGACTGTGGGTCCAGATAGTCTACTGTGTTTCATCTTACTGCATAATCTGATTTAACGAACATCTTTAGTTTTGCAATAGAGCCCTTGTATTAGAACTTGTCAGCCCATTTTCCTCTGATGATGAGTGAATTTGGTGTGATGGCCCATCACGACCTGTGATCATTCAATTTTTGGTAAATTTCAGACAGAAAGGGGAGGTTTCCTGCTATTCTGTACCTACATTTTGCGTATTTAGGAAAGTTTTAATAAGGTGGGACTTTGAACTAACTTTCTCTGTTGAACCCTAATCCTACCCCCAAAAGTTTGTGTTACCAAAATAAAGATAATAATATTATTAATAGTAATACGTGGATGCTACAGATTGGAATTGAAAACTAGGAATTCACTTTAATTTATTTAAGCTTTGCCTGTTTGGAAGTCTTTCATGGTTAAGTTTAAATAAACCCATCTCCCCATACCTAAACTATTTTTCTGAGCTATTTGTAGAAGCTACATTAACTCCAATGTAGTAAATTATAGTGATATCATTTCGAATAGGTTTTAAAAATAAGGATCTAAAGTAGCAGTTTTTAATTTCAAATTGGTACCACCATAAGGGTCACACATAAGTCCTTCTGAGTTGGCGTGCACCAAGTAGCTAAAAAGCATGTAGGCAAATGATAAAATCAGATGAAAATAATCCTACAGCCATGCAATTCAGCTAACGTTTGCATATAGGGCTCGGTACACAGAAGACTCCATAAATGGTGGTTGACTTATTTGTTGTCTAATACTGTCCATTTGATGGGCTAATGTCCAATGGAACATATTTGTTTAAACCCTTGGAAGTTAAGGGGTTTTCCTACTCAAGTCAATAGATGCTGGTATGAGATGCGTTTGAGAATTTCAATCTTTCCCTTAGTCAGAAGGGCTCAAATCCCAGGGGTGGAAATTCCTTACGTTATTTTCAAGGTGCATTAGGGTGACTTGTAGATAATTGGCCAGGCAACTATCTAGTTCCTAGTCAGGTGAAGGATATTTTCTGGTTCATATACAGTGACCAGTGAGACCAGCTTCTATGGTATATCCCCAGGCATCACGCCCGAGTCTTTACACATGTCATTTGCATCCTCACTTTAGTCCTATTTTGCAGGTAAGAAGATTAAGGCTCAGCCAGGTTAAGCAAGAGGGATTTTGACCCATACCTGTCTGATCTCAGGGCCCAACCCCCCAGATGCTCCCTGAGCTAACGTCTTTTATGCTATGTACAAGCGTGGACATACCATCAGCCCCAATTTTTCCGTCGCCATCATTATCTGCAGCCGCCATCAAGGACTTGGTTTCTGACTCAGTCAGTTCTCTAGCACCACTCTCAAACTTCTGGAGGAAAAACCTACAGGATGATAAAGATTGACGGGAATTTTCTGAAAGACCGCACATCTCTGGGCTCAACCTTTCTTTTTCTCTTGAAGCAAGACATCTGTTCCCAGAAATTGCCATAATCATTCAAGGTCTTAGCAAGCAAAGGTTTCCTTCATTATACAAACTAATGGTGGGCATTTTGTTTTCAGAGGTTTTTTTCAGAATTTTGTTGATAACTCCAATTGCCAAAGAAAAACCATAGAACTAATGAGTTTTTGCATATACAGTTTTTGGAGCCCATATTTAGGGCTTCACGTGGGTAGATGTGTGGCCGACTGACTTGTACTCTTCCCTTTCATGAGGCTCTCCCGAATGCCCAGCATCAAGGCTGGCCACTGAAGAGATACTGAGCAAATTGGCCTCCACTGCACCCCGGCCCCACTAACGATGTTGGGAGTGCCAGACAGGCTCAGGACGAAGCTTACTTAAGCTCCTCTTCATCCAGGTATCCGCTCTGGTCGTTGTCTATGAACCGAAAAACGTCCTTCACCTGACTAGCCGACATCTTGGAGAGGCCCGATGTCTGGAAGAATTTTTGGGGTTCAAAAGTATCTGGGTCTGAAGAACAGAGAATGCGTTATTCTGATGCTCATTGGATCACATTCTGTATTTGGGCCAAGGTGCTGAGACACAGGTTATTAAAAATACTTTTCATAATATCATTGAGCTACAGGGATGCTCTATTCAAAAATTTTTTCAAAAGACAAAGAAGGATGTGACTGGTCTGAGATTTTGAGGCAGCCAAGACTGGCTGGCTCTGTGATATCGTCTCCTGGGCCCCTCCTCGGCCTTCCCTCTCCACTTGACTGTCCATCTCTACTTCTCTTTCCTCCTCTCCTCTGTGCCTCCCCCTGCCCCTCTTACAGGCTGTGTATCTAAGACTCCAGCATCCCTGGTCTAATTATGGGGGGAAATGCAATCATTGGATTCAAACAGGCTACATGGCATCCACTGATGTCTTTTTTCACTTTTAGTAAGTTTCCTTTGCCTTACAGAAATGTAATCAGATGCTCAGATCTCATATTCCTGTAATTTTAGTTTTTTAGTTAACAACAGTTTTGTTCTCTGATCCCAGGAATTTTCAGCAACGTTCACATTTTAATTTTTGTGGCTTTGCTGGAGGTGTGAATATATGAGCGATCCCCACCCCTACCTCCTTTGCCCTTTACCTTGGCACTCCTGCAAGGCTGCTGCAATGTCATCAGCACTGAGGACGTCTGTGATGCTCATTTTCCACCTGTTCGCACAGAATAAACGAGACGTGGTATAGGGCAAGCAGGAACATGCGCATCTGGGGGACCACGCCCTCCCGGGCCTCCTGAAACTGTGTGTTAGTCAAGCATTTTTAAAATGTGATAAGCGCCATATCGTATTAAGTGATGGGACAGAATATCCGAATAAAAACCAAATACTGCAAAGATCCCCGCCCCCTTTATCTCAATGTCTTCTCCTGAATATGCTCCAAACATGAAATTAAAAAAATATAACCTAAAGAACAATTTGACTCTGTTTTCCCATTAAAAATTTACATTTACATCATGGATCACTTACATAGTCATCTGCAAACCATTCAGAAGTAAACCATGTTACAAATGCAATAGCATTTTCCTAGCCAGCCAGAGAAATACAATGTTGCAACTTCCACCTGGCAAAGGATTGAGCTTGGGCTCCTTACAGACCTTCAGTGGAAGAGATGCTACCTGTCCTGAAGGATGGGAATCGGAGACGTGAAAACCCACCTACCAAAGATCAAAATCCTTCCAGGTGTCAACTCCAAGGGAAAAGAGAAATCTGAGCACGGAATGCACAAGCCTAATATGGATGCATGTAGGAAAGAAGAGTCAGGGGTCTGGGAGGTCCACCGGCTACTCACCGTTTTAGATTTTCCCCCAAGAAGAATCTGGAAAAAGAGTTGAAGGAACAAAATACAGATGTGGTTCTGCTGCCTTACTAACCTACCTTATATAGGATTGAAAAAGTGATAGTAAGAACCTCTTAGATTTCCTTTTCGAGGATCAAGTGGACATAGCTCGAATGTCTTGTCTTACTAATTAAACCTCTTTTTTTTTTTTTTTTCTATCTGTATCTCAAGGGAATGTGGGTGGGAACAGCCAATTTTTAAAAACAAACCTCAAACAAACTTTAACTAAGGTTTCAATTCTGCAAACGAACCCTGCAGGAGAAGCATGGGGAAGACATTAGAAGATCTTGTGAGACAAGACAGTGGCTGAAATGAAGTGAACACATAGAGGGGTGCCCTGCAAACTCAAAAGGCCTCCCCAGGGGCCGGCCCGGTGGCGCAGCGGTTAAGTTTGCACGTTCTGCTTTGGCGGCCTGGGGTTCGTTGGTTCGGATCCCGGGTGCGGACATGGCACCGCTTGGCAAGCCATGCTGTGGCAGGCATCCCACATATAAAGTAGAGGAAGATGGGCACGGATGTTAGCTCAGGGCCAGTCTTCCTCAGCAAAAAGAGGAGGATTGGCAGCAGATGTTAGCTCAGGGCTAATCTCCCTCAAAAAGGAAAAAAAAAAGGGCTCCCCAGATAGTAGTGGCTGCCGTCTGAGGCACATCTGTTGCCAGCCTCCGAAACTGTGCTTGTGTGAGGCTGCCCTCAGTCCAGCGTGGACAGACTCAAAGTCAGTGTCAGATGGTCACACAGTCCTTGTCCAGCCAAGGGGATGGCACTGGTTAGACAAAGTCTTGACTTTGATATTTCCCCGCCAGCTCCTAAATTGCATGTGCCAAAAAGGCTGGAAGGAGGAAAATAACGAATCACTCCCAATGCTACAGCTAAAATTTGCATAAAAAATATGAGACCAGGACTTGCGACTTTGCAGGTTTTTTGTCTTTTTTTTTTTTTTTAGCTTTCAGCAAACATTTATTGAGTCTCTATATGGCCAGCACTGTGCTAGACTCTTTTTTCTTTTAAAATTGTGGTAAAAAAACCACATAGCAGAAAATTTACCATCTTAATCATTTTTAAGTGTACGTCCAGTATAGCAGCGTTACCTATATGCACACGGTCTACAATAGATATCTAGATCTGTTGCATCTTGCAAAGCTGAACTCTGCACCCGGGGAACAGGACTGCCCGTCCCTCCTCCCCTCAGCCCCTGGCAAACACCGTTCTATTTTCTGTCTCCAGGAGTTAAAGTACTTGAGAGGCCTCTTCTAAGTAGAATCTTGCAGCCTTTGTCCTTCTGTGAGTGGCTTATTTCGCTTGGCATGATCTCCTCAAGGTTCGTCTGTGTGGTAGGGTGTGTCAGAATTTTCTTCTTTTTCAAGACTGCATTCAAGTCTCTGAAAAGTCAAGAGCGGATCCCGTGTTGCATTCAGAAATATTCAGAGGCTTAGAAGGAGACAGTCCAGGAGCTCTAGAGAGGGGTCTCAGAGCACTGGCTTGTTCTTAGAATAAAGACAAAAGTCCTTGTCGTGACCTTGAAGGCCCAGCATGATCTGGCCCCTGCAGACTGCTCCAGCCTCGTCTCACCGTCCTCCCATCCTTCCTCCAGCCGTGGCCCCTTTGCACTGTTTTCTTTGCCTGGAACGCTCTTCTCCTTCCTCTCGTCCTAGGTATCTCCTATGCAGCCTTTACATCTCTGCTCAAGCATCACTTCTTCCAGGAAGCCTTCCTTGACTCCCAGACTAGGTCAGACCCCCCCACTGCACAGGCGGTTGAACCTCTGTGCTTCTCCCTTATAGAAAAATCACAGCAGCACTGTGCCACTTCCTGTGACTGCTTAAATAGTGTCCCTCTGCCCCCCGGACAGTAAGACCCATGATGGCAGGTTCACGGTCTGTGATTGCTCAATTCTGTATCCCCCGTGTGGACGTAAATGAAGACAAACCAAATGAGATGAGGCAAAGGCTGTTTATTCAGAGCCTCCTATGGCGAGGGCATCGCCCACCGCCGCTTGTGTTGGCAGTGACTCAAAGGCAGCCAGAAGAGCAGGAAAGCTCTAGAGTTTAAGAAGGGCTGGCTTCAGCTGTGCCCTGATGGGAGGCTGTCGGCCTGGGGAAGCTGGAGGCAGGTTAACCAGAAGGGGGCATTCCCTGTGATTGCTTGGGGGAGCATATTTGCTGTCTTCTTGGTTGGTCCAAAGTTGGAAGCGGGGCCAAACATTAGGGAAGCTGTCAGTTATAATCGAGTCCTGGCCATTTGGGGCCGAGTGTTATCAGAGTTGTTGTTTGGCATCCCTGATTACTTCTAGAGATAGTGGTCTGACTTCCTACAAGCCTGACTTAGAGATGGCGGCCTGGCTTCCTGGGCCGGTTGCTGCAAAGAGTGGGTCAGAGTTCTGTTTTTACATATGGGCCACTTTTAGATTTAGTCTCACTAGCACCTTCCTTGTCACATTGTAACTATTCAGTAAATACACTCGTGGAATGAATGACCTTGAGCGGATCTCTTACCCTGAGCCTCAATGTGCCCCTTTTAAAGTGGAGATAATAAACAACCTACTCTATAGGGCTATTGACAAGTAATCCGTGTGAAATGAATGAGTAATCAATGGTGGCCATCACTGTTGCTGTTATCTGCCGTACAGCCTTTTCGAAAACAAAGATATTCCAGGCAAAACTTATCTAAGGTGCTAGAAGAGGATGGTACTTACCCTTGAGGGCAGGGTAGCGACTGGGGGTGGGGAGGTCCTGGGGTGTTGATAATTCTATTTCTTGATCTGGGTGCTGGTTACATGGGTGTGCTCACTTTATGAAAATTTCCTGGGCACTTTTCTGCATGTGAGTTTTACTGAAAAAATGGTTGCTATCCCCAAAGGTTGAGCAGAGAAGGATGGAGGGAGGGTCCGGCCCTGTGATTTGGCCTTGAGGTGTGGTGGGTAGAGGTTGTGGGATCAGGCATCGGCCGGCTGCAGCCTGGACACTGGGCTGTGGTGCTTCTTGTGTGCATAGCCAGGCTGTGAATAGAGAGGCTTAAATGGTGTCACCGGGTGGCTGAGGCCGATTACCTCACAGCTGAGAATGTGATGTCATCCTGATTCTGAAGGGGATCAGAATAAGCCACCCCAAATTTGCCACTTGAACTATTTGGGGCTGAAGAAGGCAATTGAGAAGCAACAGATGCAAGAAGAATTCTCTGCCCTCGCCTTACCTGCCTAAAATAATAAAATAATAATAAAGGTGTTTGCCCTGTCCAGGAAGGGGAGAGCAACTCTCATCACCAGAAAGGGAGAGTTGATACCAAGATGTCCTCATAAACAGACCCTCCTGAAATAACCCTTATCTTCCACTAGTGCTCCCATATGTTTCCTAGTCACTTCCTGTGATTTACCTGTCCTAGAGGCCCAAACCCCCTTTCCTTTGTTTAACCACTTCTCACAATTTATCACCCTTTGTTAAAATGGGATATAAGCCCCAAGTCTCATCGCTTCTTTGAGCTTCACGTCTTCCCTATGAACTCCGATGCCAGTAAAATAAAATTTTACCTTTCTCCTGTTAATCTATTGTCTGTCAGTTTAATTTGCAGGCCCCAGCCACTGAACATAAGGAGGTAGAGGAGAAGCGTTTTCCTCTCTGACGGCCCCATCACAGGGAGGCATCCCTGTCTACCCCACCAATCTCATCACGCTGGGTTTTTTCTCCAGAGCGCTTACCATGATCTGAAATTATCTAGTTTCTTTCTTTCTTTCTTTTTTTATTGTCCATCACCTCCCCCAAATGGAAGCTCCTGGAAAGTAGGGACTGTGTGTATCCTGTTCGGCCTCAACCCCCAGGCCTGGCATTTAATAGCACAAGAGGTCCAGCGGTGGAGATGAGAAGTCCTGGCCTCATCAGGGAGACAGTGACCAGTCATAAGGTGGAGCTGGCGGGAGTCTAAAGTCTTATTTAAACAATGGCCAGTGTAGTTAAAAACATCCCTCGTGCTTTGTCGTTCCCCATCTGTTCCAAGAGAGGCCGTGCTTCGTGTGAGATCTCTGAGTCAGGCAGCTTCCTAACACTGACCCAAAGTGGGGGGAGCGTGTTATAGGAACAGCAAGAGAGGCTGTTGAGGAAGACAAATTCTAAACTCCAGAGAAAACTCCCAACTGCCTTACAGACGAATGCAAATTATTTGAGAACCTCAAGAGCAGAGATTTTTAAATGTCAGCGATGGAATGGCAAGGCCCTCAGGAAAGCAACTTTGACTGATAAGTTAGGAAATCGACAAAAATCTGAATTTCAACACCCAGCTGATGCTCTGTATGGTGACCTGGTGGTGGTGGGGGGGGGAATCTAGAG